GAAACGAGTTCAGTTTAAATACAAATCACGAAAGTGACTCAGAAAGATTTTGCTCCTTTGTAATACACTAGTCTATGTCGCTTCAGATTCACATTCCTAAAAAGGAGGCGTCGTTAAAAATATTTGAGTAGGGTGGCTGGTGATTTATATTAATTACTTACAGCACGGAAAGCAATACCAAATTATCATTTCATTCTGGAATGCAGTGTGCATCTTGAAAGATAAAGAACGCGAATGCCCGGAAGATTTTTCTAATAGAAACTGGCTGCTGACTTTACACCTATGTTTTTTTGAGTATTAACTCATGTTCAATTAATATCTAAATATCATGATTCCGATCAACTGGTTTAAATCATCTCAACCCTACATACCAGTACCATGCTTTCAACTTTTCACAGACATAGTTTGTTAATAGTTCGGCATTTTATTTTAAATTCGTAATGGAGTATTTTCCCCCAAAAAATATACTGCGGCAAAACGAGCCCTTCAAAGTTCAAACGCTTTATTCTCTGACACATGAGAGAAAAAAAAACTGAAACCAAACTACTGCATTCTTGAAAAATTGATGTACACATTTTAGCTATAAAAGATTTATTTAGTAAATTTGAGTTCAAAAAAAAAAGATCACTTGTGATAGGGAAAATTAATTTCTATTGTATTGTATTACCATTTGCTATATGTATAATTGCAAATGCATTTTAAGGGAATATATATATATATATATATATATATATATATATATATATATATATATATAGGGTGATCTTTTACGACCTTTTTTTTCAAGTTGGCAGCACTGATATGTAATGGCGTGAAAGCGTAATCTGCAAACCCATCTGGATTATTGTTTGTGGGGCTACGTGAAATCGTTGGTGTATATGGACAAGCCCAACACTATTGTGACCTTACAAGATAACATAACTCGTGTTATTGGTGGAATTCAGGCCGAAATGCTGGAAAAAGTAGTTAAAAATTGAAGCTTTCGTATGGACTATTTGAAACGTAGCAGTGGTCAACATTTTCATGATGCCTTTAAAAAGTAAATGACCAGATCCAGATTATCGAATGCAATAAAGCTTTTGTATACATAATGCCCTTTTAGCTGTTATATTCAACTTTTAAAAAGAAGGTTCTTAAAAAATTACCCGTTATTTGCAATTGATTAGGATCAATTTAGGGAGGGGCAACCAAGGTCAAGACTTGAATTACTCCAATTAAGAAGGTCCCTTTGCGGATGAAGTAATTACACTTAGTGAAGAAAAATGAGACCAACAATTAAATAGCTTTTGTTTTTGTGGTATGCGAAGTTTATCAAAGCACGCAATTTGTCTGTAAATACTTTTAATGGTAACACTTGCGGCATATTTATAGAAAATTATATATTTTATCCTATGACTTCATCTAATAGTTTGTTATGATACATGGCAGATAGTTGTACCCAGTGGCGACTCATTTGGTACTACTATCCGTCGTTGTTCTTCAGATCGGTCCCGTGGACTTTTGCTCTTAGTTAAAATTCTTGTCGGTCTGTTTGTTAGACCTGACCACCCATATACCAGACAAAGTGAAGGGGGAGAGGGAAATAAGTATAATAGTTATAATAGTAAGCATTGTTGGTTTGACTACTTAAATAATTTTGTTATTCCAAAAATAATTTTAATTTTAGTCGATTAGAAACACACAAATTTTCATCAGTGTTAAGGCGCAGCCTGGAGTATGTGTGAGCTTGCTCTGCTACACAGAGGGTTTCTGTGCGATTCCGCTTGATTATAAACAGATATGGGATCAGGATGTCGAAATCTCTCTCAATTGTCTCATTTGACAGGTACCATGGGGCGTTGGTAGTACAGTTATTTAGTGTAGCAGCAATTTTTCATAAAAAATGTAAAACAAATTTTGAAGTCGACAACGTAATTTTCAGTTTTAGGAATTTGAAAAAGGATGTTGTGGTCATTAGTGAACAAGACATGCCAATAAAATTGCAATCGAGTTTCATAGTAAAATCGATTCCACAATTAGCAAAATATTCAAACAGCCACTGCGAATGCAAGTAATTTTTTGATGATTTGCCAAGTATCAATTTAGATCAATTTTGTTAATATCCTAATACATATTGTTATATTTCTTTTCCTACTCTTATTAACTAAATTGAAAAAACTACGATTCAACTTTCTTACTTTATATTTTTTCGAATTATGAGCAAACTGCCTAACTTCACGAAATGATACTTCACTATCACTTCTTCAAAATTTTTCATAAAAACAAATTATCAGGAACAGAAAAATCATTTATAGTCTTCCATGCCCGAGATGTAAGATTTCCTATGAGTCATTCTTAATTGCAAAGAAACATTCTTCAATATTTTAATTTGACGTGGAATATGCAAACATACAGTATACTGTATATTTAAACAACACTTTTTTCATTTATGATTGAATATTTATAGAATGTAAATAAATGTATATTCTTCATAGTATCATTACTCATGTTTTAAGTATCACGAGATTGTACATCTACACGTGCATAGAAGATCTCACAAACAAGTTGTATAGTTGGAAGATATACCTGAAGAATGCATTTCAGGGGACACTTCAGCAGATTTAGAGTGACTAGAAGAAGCAATTCATACACAATGTTGCACGTTTGCTCCGTCTATAAATAAAATTGAGGATGTCATTTTGCAGGTCATTTCATGAGCGGTTGGACCAGAAAAACAATCAAAATATCATTACTAAAGGGTGATCCGTCTGTTGGTTAATTTTTAACTAGGGCTTACCTCACGGTTACAACAGTTCTGTTTTTGACAAGACTTTAGTAAAGAGTCTGTGGTGAACGAATATGGATCGATATACGCTTGAACAACGTTGGGAAGCGCTCAAAATTGGAGGTTACGTAAAAATCAGTTTTTCGGATGAGGCCCATTTCCATCAATAAGCAAAACTGTCATATTTGGTGCTCAGAATGGCCAAATCAAATTACCTAAGCCACACATGCATCCACACGAGTGACTGTTTGGTGTGGTTTGAGGTTTGATGGCATTATTGGCCCTTTTTTCCGAAGATGACGAAGGACGCGCCGTCACTGTCATTGGTGTGCGCTATCGGAGCATGTTGACTGACTATTTCTTTCTGGAAACCGATAAAAGACTTGATGGCGCGTGGTTCGAGCAAGGCGGCGCGACCTGCCACACAGGCCGCGAAACAATCGCTATTCTTCAAGAACAGTTCGAAAATCGCGTAACCAGCCGTTTTGGTGATGTCACTTGGTCACCGCGAAGCTGCGATTTAACTCCGTTGAATAATTTTTTGTGGGGAAGCGTAAAAGATAAATGCTATGAGAATGCCCGATCGATGATTGAGCACTTGAAAACCAACATTCATGCAGCCATTAGTGATGTGTGTAGTGTAATGCCGCAGACTGTGGAAAATGTATTGAAAAATTAGGTCGACAGAATCGGCTACGTCAAGCCGTGACACGCATATAAATGACTGTTTCATCATTAACCGGAAGGATAGTACTCTCAAATAAAGAAACCCGTTTGGAAAAAGAACTCTGCGTTTTCATTTTAACCATAAATTTAAAAATTAACCAACAGATGGATCACGCTTTACTTCAGATGAAGTTAACTATGGAGTTAAATTATGTACTCAGTACCAGTACGTCTGACGAGAAAATGTTAAAATTGTTTTTTAAAATCGACTCACAATAATCAAGTTTTAAATGAAATGCACTGAGACATGAAGATCATTCAGGAGCTATTTCTATATGGCCATAAAGTTGAAAACACCTGATACAGGGTGTTTCAGAACTATGGGATCAAACTTGTAGGGGTTATTCAGTGTAACAGTAGAAAACATTTGAGTATAGGCACCCATATACGGAAAAGTGTCACTACGTCACTACGGCCCTTAGGCGCGTTAAAATTTAGAAAGATGATGAATTGCCTAAATAGGATTTAATGCATTTAATTTTTGTCTTTTGTACATGATATCATCACAACAATTGTTCAAAATGTCTTCCTCCAACCTGAATACACCGTTCCTGTGGGGACAAGTAAAGTCTTTGGTTTACGAAACTAGAGTAGAAACAGAGCAAAACTTAAATGGACGAATTACAGCATCATTTGAAATCGTTCAAAACGAGTACCAAATTTTTAGTCATGTCCGCCGAAATCATGTGCGACGTTTAAATCGGTGTATTCAGGTTGGAGGAAGACATTTTGAACAACTGTTGTGATGATATCATGTACAAAAGGCAAAAATTAAATGCATTAAATCCTATTTGGCAATTCGTCGTCTTTCTAAATTTTAACGCCTCTTAGGGCCGTAGTGAAACTTTTCCCGATATGGGTCCGTCAAATGTTTTCGACTGTTACACTGAATAAGCCATAGAGGTTTGATCCCTTAGTTCTGAAACACCCTTTATACGGACATTAGGACTTTTCAATTTATTTTTTCTTGAGGAACTTTTTGGTATGAGGTAATGGAGACACCAAGGTTCAATTATGAGATTTCTAAAATTCACTTTCTTCACTTCTACTTATGACCAGCGGTAAGCGCACAAATTATTTGGTGGAAACGCGTGAAAAGGAATTATGGACAAGAATATGGGTTGTGGCAGGAAAAAAGGTCTGCATCAATTTGAGGTTAGAAATGATTTTCTATTTTTTCATCAAGTTATTTTATGGCAAAGAGAATGGACTTTGCCCCCTTTCTTTAGCCCTAAAATGTCGATTAAATTAAATTTTCGAACACCAAAATCCGGCAAATAATCTTCAAGTTAAAACATAAAAATCAGACAATTATAACCCCTTTTTGCATTTGTCGAGAATAAAAAAATAGTCACAGGACTTGGTTTTCCTGGTACAATCCATATAGTACTCGTTCAGTAATAATTTGTCCCCTTGCAATTCCCCTCAACGATTTTTCTATATTTTTTATACTAATATATAAGTTGAACAATACGGATTTAGCGTTGGACCTCTTCTACATATTGTTTACCTGTAGACTCCATAATGCTTCCCACTAGCCCTATCCCCACATATCGAGCACAGATGTTTGGAACCACTCAACGGGTGGTTGGGAGGATACGGCGACCCTTGGCCTCCTTTCTGTCCGCCCTGTACAGACGGCTGGGGGCTGAGCAATCCCGCTGCCGCCCCCAATGAAAACGTGCCCCCAGGACTACCCGGGTGGTCGCCCGCGGGGCTGAATTGGGCTGATGTGGGCTGTCCTGCGGCGGATAGCATCGATGCGTCCGGTTTCAGTTCGAGCGGGGACTGTGGACCGAGCAGAGGGCCCATCGGGATGTTTTGGTCCAGTGATAGGCCTGGAAAAAATCTCAGACTTAGTTGGATAATGCTGGAAATCAGTATAGGTATGCATCAATTATTTTAATGTTGATAAATGTCAAGTTTGCTACTTCTACAACATGACTTTTTGCTGACATTAATTACTGTTAAGATTATACTACTGTACCATGATATTATTTCTTGAGAAGATAAACCCATGCGCATGCGACTAGTCTATCTCTTTCGCACGCGAGGAGTAACTCGGTGACAAAAATCCCTAGAGATGTTTGACAAATGTAGGCTTTTATATAATTGAGGCGTCAAATTGCAAAACTCGCCTTATCCATTTTTCAATATAAATTGAGATAGTAAATAATATTCATGGTAGAAATTGAATCTTCATAACTACAGCCACAAAAGCAGTTCGTTCCTATTTAAAATTGAGTGTAAAAATGTATAAATGCGACAAAATCCCTCGTATCCGTTGATACACTTTCATTGTGATTACGGTTATCCATATAACGTGTGCGATAAAGGATTTCATAATTTTGGGAACGCTGTATTTGCTGCATGACAACAGAGAATCGCAATCGCAGAAGAAGAAACTGATTTAAGAATTTAGATTTTCTTTGTCATATGTTCATACGGAGTTTTATTTTTGTTTAATTCCTATATAAGCTTTATTATTTTTATAATAACAACATGTTACCAGAGAATACTATATTTGTTATTAAAGCACTTTTTGTTTAATTTTATTAACAAATATACAAGTTCGGAAGCAAAACCAGCAATATTCGCACCTTACTGTAGTAAAACCCGCAATATGCATCCTACTGCAACAAAACTCGCCTTATCCATTTTTTTCCTTGAAAAATGAAAAAAACACGTTTATTTCTGGACAAAATAGATGCAAAATTACAACTTCACACAATGGATTTAATTTTTTTAAATACCGCTTGGGATAAGGCGGGTTTTGCAACTTGACGTCTCAATTATTTCAACTATAATTAAAAAAAACAGTGAATTAAACATTTAACATAACAACAAGACAAGCTTGCTAACAGTGGGTTCTGAAGTGTTTGTTATCAGCAACACAAATTTACTGATCTCTAATTAAATGTCATGAAAACAAATCATATTTTTGACAATTTCAACTCAGGGTCATTAAATATGCCCAAAAACTATTTAAAATGGTTAATAGATTTAGCCACGTCAGTTAGTCTAAGTGTAGACGCCAAGCAACATTTTTCGGATGTAAAATGTATTATAAAATAAGAATGTCAATAGACATATAAAAAAAACATCAAAATTCAATAAAGCCGTGTACTAATACAAAATACTTTCACCAGCACCTACCCATAAAAAAGTTAAAAAACCATTTACACAACATTTTATACAAAATTATAAATATGTCTTATATGCGGTATCCTGTTCTCCGTCCTTTTTCTTTTTAAAAGTTAAAATAATATATATTACTGATGCACAAATGCATTATTTGAAACCAATTTACGTCAATAAAAAAGTAAGTCCCCTTAGGGAGTCCTAAAGATATTTCAGTTTGAAAACCTACAAGCGCATTTTCAATGATTAAATCTTAAGTAATTTAGAACCTTTCAAAACTTGTCTATTGTTAATTGTTCAAAAGTGATAACTTCAAAACGGAAATGTATTATGTCTATAATGATATACATACTTCATTAAATTGTGTTATAATATACAGGGTGAAGTTTGAAACTAAAAAACATTTTTTTAATATCTTCAAAACCGTCAACTGGTATAAACTAAAATTTGGTATGTGGATTTACCTAACCACATTCAAAAGTCTTTACTTAAAATGAACGTGCACCAGTGGTGAAGATACAGGGGATTAGTAGAATTATTTTTTCAAATAAAATAGTACGCAAATTTTCTAATTGTACCTTCAATTTGCTACAAATAATTACTCTTGTGTTTTTTTCCTAGAGTGCACTGTTTTCATAAAAATAAAAATAAAACAAAACGCCTTGTGAATCACCCTGTATAACATTCAACTTATCATGTAAAATCGATAACAAAAAAAATGTCAGGCAAATGTTCCAGATATTTAAAAGAAAATGCTTTTCATTCAAGGAGTAGGAAATCCGATCGCGAAGTGAGCATATCTTCTCGAGTTATAGTATCATGATACTGTACTATAGGTTCATGTTTAAATTATTCACAACAGTTTCTAATGGTTTTCATACGTCACTTTCAGATAAAAGCTGTTTTAGCTGGAATCGTATAATTATGTAAGGAAATAATTGTGTTTCTTTGTCAAGTTTGGTTTTGAGGCATCAAACAAAAACTGAAAAAAGAAATTGTGCAGAAAATCACATACCTTTGTTAGTTTAACAGGAGGTTGAGAAAGTGTATGTTGCCCATGAGCGACATAAATATAGGAGAAACGACAAAAAATATGGATTTAAAAATACAATCCAAACATTTTTTCGGTACGACTAAAGAGACCAACGCAAGACTTCAACATACGTGTGTTGAAATTGCAGTATTACTTCAATTATTGTAAGCCGTCATTAATTTGTGATGTCCAAGTGCAGACTTTAAACTACTTCGAAAAAAAATTAGCACCTCAATAAACAACATATCCTTAATAGAACTAAAAATGCAATATTCCTCGAAGGTGCACTTTCGCAATTAATATTATACCTATGTACATAAGTGGCTTTGTGAACGTGTCAATTAAATGTATTTAGTTTGTCAAGATCTTTTGTAATACAAACTAAAGGAAATGAAGGCTAAATTCCAAGACGTGCGCTCTGTTATGTTTAAGAATCATGGTAAAGTGGAGACATAGCACATTGTTTTATATGGTTTCTTTTTATTTAAGTAGGTATGTAATGACCAAGAGAAACCATTTTTGTTTGCAGAGACTATGTTTAATGGAATATCTGGAACCAAGTAGACAGTCAAGTGGCTTTCACGCATTGGTATAGGTTCAGGTTCCAGATGTACCTGGCAAAAATTTGGAATCAGTTCAATAAAAAACAAATACCGCCAAAGATATCAAGAAATGTACTTCATAGCACTTCAATACAGATATTTTCGAATCAAACAGCATTACCAGTTACAAGTTCATTTTATAATTCAATCTCAAATAACATCAATATTGAAATCAGTCAATTGAACTGAATTCCTTCACGTAGGTATGACATGTCTTCCATAGCTCGTAGGCATTTTTTATAAAAAAGAAAATATTGTACACGCACACATATTCGCCTAAGGTATAATGGCACAAAGAGTTTTTTATATTACATTAGCAGAATACTGAGGAATATACATATATGCAGATTTTGATTATAATGATTATGTCCAATCAATGTTTTTGATTTTCTTTTCATTTCATCGTGACATAAAAACAAAGTATGAGGATGTCTACTTATTTTCAAAGTAAAAATTTTAGCTCACGGCTAAATCCATAATTTATTATGAGTAGGTGTGATGTTAGCAGCTTTTATAAAAATTGATAACACTAATTAATTATGAATTACCTTTAAACTAAAGGTAAATTGAGTGAACACTTTAACATGAAAATATTTCTTGAACCATCCTCATAGGGGCATAATAACTTGTTTCATGTTACACACCGATCGATAAATGGTTCAAGTTCCATTATAAATATCATAAAAGATTCATTAATCTTAATACCAATATTCTCGGCGATACAAAAAACCAGACAAGTTGAACGATCAATACATGGTGAAGGTTAAACGTCTACAAGATCTCAAACGATGTCATTAAACTTGAAGAAAATTTGAATACATAGAACTATTAGAATTAATAGTGGTCAATAGCTTTTATAATAACTTACACTACTTACAGGATCTTTCATATCAGAACAACTTTTATTATTGAAAGAGAAAATAACCTTATCACATCAAGAATAGGGCGTTAAGAGTTTTTGATAGATAAAGTTTGCTAAATTATGAGTGAAGGTTATCCCATCTCCTTGTAAGATTTTCAAGAAAGAAAATACTTGCACTAAATACAGGTTCCTTTTTTCGTCTTACAAGATTTTAATTTCAAGTCAGAGTTTTAAAATCTCATATTTTTAAAAATATCAAGGGATCAAATTTACAAGAAACCACTGGGGATTCCAAGAATAATTTTTATTTTAAGAGATATTAATAGCGTACCATCATTGGCTGCTAAAATAGGCAGGTCAAATTCTGTACGAACGCCAATGGTGGAAACTAAATAAATGTGATATATTAAAAATGCTCCTTGATACATGGTACATGTATCTCAGATGTCATTAAAATATCTAAAGTGGTATTACAGATATTAATAATCAATAATTTATTTTTGATAACTTTACCAACCTGTAGAAGGTTAAGACGTTTAGGACATACGTTCATACGAATTTTTCTTCTTAACATGGATACAAAAATCGACCTCTTAAATATTGATATTCAATTAGAAAATAGCTTATATATTATACAAGTCGCCTGAAACCATATAAGCTAACTTAAAAATCAAATTTTCTTTATGGGAAGCCTGTTTGAATGACTGAACCAACATAAGCAGCTATCAAAACAGGATGCCCGTTTTTTACAGTGCTAAACTGCATTACTCTTACTGTTCCAAACAGTAACGTTTTCTAAATACACAAAACGAAGATTCTGGACAGACCATGTGTAATTATATTCCTGATTGTTTTCACAGCATTTTTATTAGTCGTTAACCTCAAAACAGCAAAGCTCGTAGCAAATAGATATCTTGGATTAATTTAAGAATTTCTTTGTTATATTGTCAAAACAGATTATTTTTTTTAATGAGCCTACAATTGCACTTTTATGTTGAAGACAGTAAATATTTAAATCAACTTTAATCGGTATCTTGACCTTCATGCAGTAGAAAATTAAGCAGATAAACATTTAACTGTTTATATTTATTTATGCAATATATATATATATATATATATATATATATATATATATATAACTAATGATACCAGATTTATAATAAAAACAAACCATAAAACAGGTATTGATTAAAATAACTA